CTCTCACTTATTCTAAGACGTCCAGCCAGTGTTGAAGAATGAACCAAATAAATCCCGCGAGGGGCTCTCCAGAGCTCCCTCTAGTGGCTGCCTTTCTGCCAGCATTGGCGTGAGCAGGAAATTGCAGGGCTGCACCTTAACCTGTCACTTTTACCATCGTTAAACAAGCAAACTCTGCATTAGCGTTTTAACAATTATGACTTGTACGTGCCACAACAGTCCATGCCTCTTATACACACTCCACTTCCACCGACGTACACTATGACGGAATATGAATTATGTCATCTGCAACCCTCAGTAATTGTTTATGCCTTGCCGCTGCCGTCTGTTAAGTCATCGCTGTTCAGAGTTTTTTTGGTCTTTTTTTGTGAAGGGGAATCTTTGATCTTCCGGCAGGCATACAAGTCCCCCGTGTATTTGGTCTCAGCGGTGGTGGAAATTCTGTTTGTTTAAAATTGAAATTTCATGTGGGGCGATTGTCCCAAGTCACAAAAGGCTCAACAGTCGCCCCTAAAAGCATGACCCGCAAGGACACGCAGACCTACCAGCTGTGTACACTCAGGGACACACTGGGGTGAGTCAAAGCAGAGGTGTGAAGAGAGACCCTTTTTGGAAGACAGGGTTAGTGTTTTATTTATTGCTCATACCTATGCATACGCGTTGGAGGCAGCAGCCAGAACACTGAACTCATTTTCACCTGGATTTAATCAACTTGGTCTTGTGCGGCTGATAAATAAAACAAGGAGCAGACAACAATTACCTGCAAATTAAATATATCGCTCTGCGTTGATGAATTGGGAGTCACATATAGACATTATCGTACCCTAATTAATAAACACAGCCCCAGTAGTTTTCAGAGCCAATCATCATGCCTCCCCAAGGACCATCATTCCATGTTGACTACAGTAGAAGCATTTGCTTAAATAGTATCCTTGAAATACCGGGATAATTCAGGGGTAGGGTCACACGAACGGCAGAAGGGCCTCCAATACGCGGAGCTCTGGAGAGCCCTTCCAGAGTGTATTTGGCCTACTTTCCCAAGCTGAAAAGACGTATTTCAAGAGATGGCAGTAACCACACAATACCCCACCACACGCGACCTGCTTACTGCGGTGTACCCGTATACCGTGTACTGTGCTGCTGTGTGGACTTTCCAGTTCAGTTATCACACGCCACTTATGTTTGTCGTGGCCGGGAATCAAACTCAGGTTGCCGGGTTCGTTTTACAGAACGCTAAGGCACTGCTGCACCCCACAGAAAGGCATCTGTTAATATATCAGTTTACTCTTAAAATTTCTATGCAGAAAACACGATAGTGTCCAGAATGCAAACATTTGTGATAACACTTTAACACAACCATTATTTTCCAATGAAATACATGTGACTAAAACTCTTAATTTATTAAAATGGTACTCAGCATTGATCAATCAGCCAACAAACACTCTCGGGGAGGAACGTTTGCCAGCAGTGATGTGAATAAATAACTTTCGGGCTGCATCTTTAGCTTTCAAATTACCGAAAACACTTCCAAAATGTGTTTTTGGCTCAATCTATCGCTCACCCTTACGCGTACAATAGTGCCTGGATTCTGAAATTAAAGCTACAATATATACAGTTAAGAATCCTAATACCAGTATATTTTTTTGAAGGTATGTTTGTGATGTAGCTCACTGTGCAAGTGTATATTGGCAGCCACAAGAGTCACAGCACACGTTGTTCAAGAGGCCAGCTCTGTGCTGGCCTTTTGAACAAGAGTCACAGCACACGTTGTTCAAGAGGCCAGCTCTGTGCGAGTTTATGAAAAAGATCTCGATAGCTCATCGGATTCCTTCAGGACAAATAATGATTCTGATTTTGAATAAAACACAAGAATATACGAATGAAATGCAGCTGATTATACTTATTACACAATTTTCTTAAAATGGCCAATTTTATAAATTGTATTACTTGACTATTGAGATGGAATTCATCTGTTTCTTTGGCAAATTCATTAAAACCTGCAGGCGATATGAAACACAATTTTACGAATGCACGTTTAGGACTACTGTACAGTACAAACAAAAGAGTGACGCACAATATTGACTCGTCTGTCAAACTTATATTGTGTAAAATATTAACTATACACATCTGTCAATAACATTGGCTTCAAAGTAAAAGTATGTAATCAGCGACGTTTTAGGCAATAGCCCTTCTTTATAGCATAATTTGTACTTGTGCACCACTCCTAATGCTGCAGCTTCACCAATTACTGTCAAAGTATATCTCTGTACTGTAGTCATAAAGTATAGCAACGTATAAGGTAATTATCCTAGCTTAAAATAAATGATTGACCTATTTATAGATTACACAGTACAGTACACAGTAGCAGTTTATATATAATGCCTTTGTGTAAAAGGTCAAAGTGTTACTCTGCTCAAAGTAGAAATGCCTATCCATGAGCCAGGAGGGGAAATTCCACATTCATATGGTGGGAGCCAGTCCCTCCACAGAATGCAGTTCATGAGAGATGATTAATATTGAGAATGGTAACATTTAGAACAAAATGCTGTTCGGTAGTCAAACATACATTTATTAAAACTACCAAACGTATGGGTTTAGCCGGTAAAGTGCCAGTGCTTTCAAAATAGCTGCTCCAGGTGTCACAATGCTTTTGTGAAAAATTGGGATTTTTGGCCGCATACTTGAGTTATGGTTGGCAGTGGAGAAGGCATTGGCCGATGAGTGATGGGTGTGGTCAGCATCACCAGGAGACATTGTGAGCGGGGCTAGTGGCTGGGTGGACGTTTGAAAAGTGGGAAGAACTGACAGGAGAGGGGCTGCCAGCTGAACACGTGCCCTGGTTGAGCCTTCAAGACATTTGGTAGCTTTAACGTTTATTTACTTTCAAATGGCCCCATTATGTACGCTTAGTTCTTGCCCACAATATATATTAATGCACTTTGGTGATTGTTTAACCAGCTATGAGTAAGAAGTGTATGAATCTTGCTCAAATCTGCCATCCAGGGTTTTTTTGCAGTTATTCGTGCAAATCATCAATCTTAAAGACCGGTTAACCCAAAGGTGACTTCTAGAACTGTATTCTTTTGAAAAACAAACGTGTGTAAATCACGTATCACTCCAGTACAGTATTATGAATAATTGTTCGTGTATTAGTTGAGCATTAAAATGCATTTGTAAATACAATTCACCATATGAACCTTATGGCGGGACCCCGGGGTCCCATAAGCCCCCGGCTCTCGCATAAACTGCGCTGCGACGTCATTTTATGTCTGTTGAAGGCGAACGACACGGCAATCTATTTCTCTCGACGAGCTCTACACGATGCGCTTATCAAAGTTTAGAAGTGTTGTTTATTTTGCGCATTCGTCCTCGCTGCGCTTGGACATGAAATGACTACAGAACGATCCGCGCCGGGTAAGTCACGGCGTTTATGTGCGCGGTGGGACGGTGTCGCCAAAATAAATACATTAATTACCATTTTGACTTCCGTTTACATCGGGACCCCGGGGTCTCGCCATAAGGTTCATTTGCCCGACATTTGGTTAAGTGACTGCATAACCATAACCTTCAAGTCCATGTGACATCCCAAACAATAACACATTTTAGCCTCCTAGTTTATTGGCCTTCCAAACAAACACATGTGCTCACCAGCAGAATTTGTTTAAACACAGACCCTGGACTAGTTTAATTTTACGGGGTCTCATCAGCAGTCAGGCATGCAAAGCAAAAACTGCTGATGTACCAATGTCATTGGTCAGTGCCCTGCCATGGGCCGTCGGCGCAAACAAACCCAATATAGTATAACATTAATTAATGTATCACAGAGCGCTGCTGATGATCACCAGAAGAGAGAACCCGTCCGAAGATTTGTGTGCTTAAAGAAATGCTGTTGCTTAACTTTGGTATGTAAGTCAATAAAGCCCAGAGAATTAAACAAGCCGGTATTTTCGTACGAGTGTAGCGGTGGTGCTAGCGGTGGTACTGATACTGCGCTATAAACCCAGCAACCGAGGTTTGATTCCCGGGCAACGGCTACCATCAGTGGCGAGCGACATCAGAATCGGCCGTGGAAGTCCCCTTGACCAGCCCGCACTGACCAGCGTGGTCACGACGACTGTCTGGGCGGAGACGACGACGAGGAGGAGGCCTGCGATCTTCTCCCGCTCGCCGTGTCGGCAGAGTGCGCTAACCACTGCGCCACCGCTCCTCTCATTGACGGGTGGCAGTGTTGTCATACGCGCATCGCCTACGTGTGCGCTGTAGCAATGTGCATGGAACTGAGTGCATCGGTGTATGCGAATGTCCTCACCGATGCACACGCGTGCATCATCTAACGGTGTAATGATGCATTGTAGTGGAGGCCGTGGTGTAGCGGTTCGCGCGCTGCGCTGTACCCCAAACCCTGCGATCCGAGTTCCATTCCAGCTCACGGCCACCTACACGTGACGATTATCTGAACAGGTTATGGGAATCTCCAAGGTCGACTCAGCCTCAAGTAGGTACCTGGTGAGGTGTGTAAACATCGCCCTTGGGGAGACAAAGGTGGCCGGGCGTGGTCCTGACTACCCATCCTCTTGCGTGCCGTTCCGGCCTTCATAGGTGCTCGCAAACAGCACTTGCCCCAACAGTCTATTACGGCTATACTGGGGGATCTTTGTGTGTGTGTCAGTGCATGCATTCATGCACACACGTGTATGTATGCAATGGCAGTGTATGTCAGTGCATGTGCAAGTGTCTATAAGTGCATGCACGTGTACGTACGCACACTGTACATGTTAAATAAATAATAAACGATGTCAATGTCAGCAGCAGCACATGCGCACACACAATAGGCTAGGAGGTATCACACATTCACATTACTCGACTTATAACGCACACATTAATACTACAGCGGTATTACATATAGAGAGAGCCACTATATTATAAGCAGCACAGCAATACCAGAGCCTTGTAACCGCTATAATGTAAATACAATTGTGATGCGGGTGCACGTATCTCACCTTGTGGTAAACGATCATATTCGGGGGATCATCAATCGCAGCAGCAGCGGTAGTAGCTTCTGTGCTTGAGTTGTACCCTGCTCCTGCTCCTCCTCCACTGCTTCCTTCTGCCATAGCTCCACCTCTATTTATAGAGCGTGCTGCTACCACACTACTACCGTACACTGTTGTATACCCACGGTGTGTATGTAGGCAATTGTGGTACGAACGGGGGTTTTGTCACAAGATGTACAAATCTATGACAATCGCGAACGCGATGCCAAGGTAACAACAACGTTGAGACTTAGAAAGACACTAGGGGGGCCATAGACCCAGATGAGGGTTCGAGGTAAGGCATTAATACAGAACACAGTTACCGCTTGACCAATTGTTTGAATCGTACAATGCAAATGTATTATAAACAGTAGGGTACAATACTGCGTTTACTCCATGTAAATGTATTGTAATGTATATGACACATGCACAGTCAAGGTCTATGCAGTATATGTGGTACACACACGGCATGTAGACACAGACAGTATGTGCACATTAGTCACATTGGGCTTGTGCCGTGTACACATAGACCACAATCGTCGTGTCTTATAGACTGCACATGGAAATGGAGTTACATTTACATGCACAAATCACATCGCTCTGTGCAGTATATAATGACACTACTTTTCATGCAGTGCATTAGCTATTCTGTTCGTAATATTTATATATCGTGCAAGTAATACTATAACTCCAGTATATGCAATGTGTACATTAAGTTATATGTACATATATACACAATTAAACAGCGCATTTATGTACACACTATTTACGGTACAATAGCATTCACCCGATGACGATATTGTTTAGGTACAATTATCCCACCACCACTCAATCATTGCAGTATTTTAATGCATGGAAAAAAATATCTACGAGTGGATAACACACCAACAAAACGCACACTCAATAAATACAACCGAGTACTACGAGACAAATCGTGAGATAATAAATAACACAAACTTATTACATGAAGATGAGCGCATGGATGTTCCTCTTCGCTTGGGTCTTGTGGCTCATTTGCTTCAACCTGCTCTGTTGCCACTCTCCCGCCTATAGCAGCAGCAGCAGCCAGGCTATCCCTGCCTTCATAGCGAACATACACAGAGGATTAGGCTGCACTGATGCAGACATGTAATGCGTTATACACACACATAAGCTACACTTGTTCCTGAGAGATTGACCTCTACAAAATGCTGGTCCAGATGTATACAGCGGCATAAAACTATCAACAAGTCACGGGGATGTTGAGCCTCATATCTTGAATATAAAAAATATAGACAATGCTGGTTCTGTTTAATATGCTCTAGACTACGCCGTTACAAGACATGCGTGCTATTCCGACCGCACACATACGTTATTATCCTGCTGAATTATTACTCTTTGCAGGTGAATGGGCTATGTTGCTACTTATGTGTACACTGCACAGATTAAAGTATGCTACGCTCCTGAGATATATACACCTAGATACAGTATGCTATGGAAACTCCAATACAAACACGACGTATATGCTATTCATATAAAAATCTTTCAATTCTGTAACCTCAGCTCACGCTATGTTGCAGCTGCTGTAACCACAGACACGCATAATAGCAGGCTATGCTCAGTGTGGTGCCCTTGACACGTAGACTGTATGTGCTGTGCTGGTTTATAATGCTGCTGCTAAGTGGAGTGTTGATGAGCTGATTGCAGGCAGTGTGGCTCTCTCTGTGTGCGTGCGGTGCTGGGGCGATCAGAGAGAGTCAGGAATGACGTGGGCCCCATCCCTCCCTTCACCCCCCCCCCTGCCGGTTGGAACTGTGACGCACACAGGCTCAGGGATGGGCATACACGTGGGTTGTGCGCACATGCCTCCGTGTGTGTGCATCTTCTCACGGCGTGGTGCTCGCTCACAGCACTTGCCCCAACAGTCTGTTAAGACTATACAGGGGAACTTGGTCTTTGTTCTCACGGCCAACATGAGTGACGATTATCTGAACCGGTCCTGAGCCCCCCATAGGTCGACTTAGCCTCAATTGATTACTTGGTGTGGAGTGTAAACATCGCCATTAGGGAAACAAAGGCGGTCAGACGTGGTGCTGGCCACCCACCCCTCATGTATCGTGCTGGCCTTCATAAATTATCGAAATAACACTTTCCCCAACATGTGCGGATTAATAGGGATTTGTTTGTCTTTGTCCTCCCTGTGGGTGCACATTGTGTTCGCCAAGTGCTTTATGTGCAGTGTATGTACTTGTGTAGTGTTATATTCTTGGGTCTTTTGGTAAAGTAACGTAGATAGGTTCAAAGAAAATAAAAAATAACAAAAAACGACGACGTTTCGATCGCAACACAAGCGGTCGTCTTCAGGAAAAGGGGGGGTTAGCTTCCAAGGCAAACTGTTTATAAGGATTTTAAATGGGCGTTGCCCAAATGTCAGCAGCCAGTGATAATGTAAGTGGTGGGCAGCTAACCCGACGGTGGTTGGTTTTCCACCAATCAAAGGGCTGCCAGGTGAAAATGAGCATGTTAAGAGAGATTAGCATGTTAATGGAAGATCGAAGAGCCGCAACCAAGGGGTCGGCGCGCGAAGTGACTGTGTTGGTGTGAACCCTGTGAAAGCGCAAGTTTGAAATGGGCATAAAGCACAACTCACATCGGAAGGTAGTAGGATGGGAGCATCATAGCCAATTATGACTTAAACTGGTTAATAACGTCCTTCCAATGATTGCTCAGTTTTTACCCATCTTCTTGGTTGAAATGGTGTCTATATATATGGATGGCTTCATGAACGAATCTTTGTTGATAGCCAGTGGGCTTCCAAAGTACCTTCGTCTTAGCGAAATCAATTTCGTGTGAGCCCACTGCATTAAAACAATGATCAGCCACGGCTGAGGTATTGGTCCTACTGTGTTTCAGATATGCCTTATGTTCACGAACACGGTCCGAGACATGTCGCTTAGTTTCCCCAATGTAACTATTGCTGCAGACACAGCTTAGTTTGTAGACGCCGGGGTATTGCATGTCAGGGATCACATCCTGCACAGATGGGATCAGATCACGAATTTTATTTACTGTGTTAAATCGAACCTGGATCTTGTGTTTGCTCATGATTTTCGAAAATTTTTAGTGACCCCTCCTATGTATGGCAAGGTGATGGTTTTGATTGGGTCCTCAGATGGTTCTTTCCCAACGGTTGGGGTGGTGGGAGTCAGGTTTTAGGTAGGCATCAGTATGGGTGGCTTTCCAACAGGGTTATGACTCAACTAAATTCCAACAGGGCAACTACATAACAAGGTCTGTCAGTAACGTACTGGCGACCATCCCATCTCGTATGCAACAAACGACCCAGAGTGAAGACCGGAGAGCGAGGACCGAAGACCGTAGAACGCGCCGACCTCCCACAGAGAGCCTCAATCGCTCTCAGGACCCCGGCTTTATGCCGCTCAGCGTGGCCTTGCCCCGCCCTCGGTCATGCCCCCTTCTAGATCTCTCCAGAAGCTTTTCGGCCCTTATCACGTGTCCTCCGAGCCCCCTTTCAGGCCCCCTCGCTACCCTGTCCCGGTCACGTGCCCTCTCGGGTTCACACAAAGTATCACATCCTCACTTGCTCTTTCTTCGACCCTCACCAGAACTATGCCCCCTATGGCCCGCTTCCATGTCAGCCGTATTCTGGTGACAGAGAGACTCCCGACGTGCATTTCCACTCTCGTGACAGTAGTTGGCGCTAACGACATTGTGACCCCTTTTATGCCACTACACTTGTATATGCCCAGTTAAGACCTTGATAGAGTACTCGCTAACACCACTTGCCCCAACAGCCTATGTAGTCTACACAGGGGTTCTTTGTTTTGTGCTTGCTCCAAATGCATATCAAACCGAGGCAGAGAAAATGTGCCCAAATAAGGGGCCATCCATTTAGTATGTACACATGGAGGGGTGGTTAACCCAAATGTGTACGCTTGCGTATGTCCCTCATCACTGTTGATGGCCCTGCACCATTGGTGAAAATGTCATGTGCTCATGACAATCGAACAGATAGTGGCACTCATCTGATAGACATCGAAAATAGAACATTATAATTACTTAAATGTGGGCGATCTAACCCAAAAAAACCTCTATTGTCCTATGGATGAACTGGCCCTGTCAAAAAATTGGGATTTTTTTTATTATTTGCTCAGTATTACCAGTACTAAATTTTCACTACTCAATGTTTAAACGTCAGGGCTCTTGCGTTTTAAAAAGGTGTTTTAAATATAGAATTTATATTTACTCATTCTTGGTTCTTTCGGTAAAGTTACGTAGAAGGGAAACAATAAAATAATAAAAATATAAAACAATATTTTTATTATTTTATTGTTTCCCTTCTAATAAAAATATAAAACAATATTTTTATTATTTTATTGTTTCCCTTCTACGTGACTTTACCGAAAGAACCAAGAATATGAATTCCTGCAGTCACGAAAGCTTTCAATCAAAATTCTATTTACTCGTTAATTTATTATTTCCTCTATTTATTTTAATCAGGGCTAAGAGATCCTTGAGATATATTTCTTAGAAATTAATCCAGGATAAATACATGTAAAAATATAACAGCGTGAAAATATAACTACTGTACTGCCTATGAAGTAAAAGTTATCACTGCACGGCATTTTTAATATGAGTTAAATTATATAAGGGTTCCTCTTCATTGGCAGTGCATATACACTAAAGGTTTTAGTTTTTTCTAACGTTCCCTTTTCCGGAAGTATCTTTAATTATATTTGCTTGTAAATATAATGGGTTTTTTTAATACTTTAATGCTGTCCATTCTGTACTTTGCCTTGAGATTACGTGGTGTGTTTTAATACCATGCAAAACCAAGATTTTTTGTATATAAAATATAAGAATTAGGATGCCAAACATACGGCTCTGGATTTTGTACACGTGAAGTGTTGAACATGGAGGCACACACTTCGACTTAGAGGCAACACTTTTATTACACGGCCCCAACACGGCTACTACTTAAACGTTACAGCGATCACAATTAACTAGACCCCAACGGGGTAACTACATAACTGGGTGAGTCAGCTAACACGCTGCCTGACCCACGATGCCGAGCGCGAAGACTGAAGACCGCAGACCGAAGAGACGTAGCATGACAGGATGATTCCAGGAGACAGCCAAGAACACTCTCGGGACTGCCCCTTTATGCTCCTGAGCGTGGCCTCACTCCGCCTTCGGCCACGCCCCCTTCAAGACCTTTCCCGAAGAATCTCGACCGAGCATCACGTGTCCCTCAAGCCCCCTCGGAGCCCCCCCTCACTACCCTCTCCTGGTCATGTGCCCTCTCGGGTTCACCCAGACTACCATGTCCTGACTTACCCTCTCTCAGGCCGCCACCAGGACTATACCCCCTAGGGCCCGTTCGCATGCCGCACTCACTCTGGTCCCAGAGAGAGGTTCTAGGCACACAGTAACACTCTTATGACAGTGCCTGGGGCTAACACCATAGTGACACCCTTAACGTCAATACGTATAATTTATCCACTGTGGCTGTACAATTGTCTCAGTTGTCTGCAAGAGGTGTCTGCCATTGACTAGAACTTGACTCTGCAGCATTATGAAATTTGACCTATATGCAGTAATAATATATATGAGATGCTACCGTGGTTGTAATGGTGAGTACACCATACTTGTAATCTAGAGGTTGTCGGTTCAATTCGACCTCCTGGCAGTTGAAACAAATATCCAGGTTTCTTAGCCCCCACCCCGGACCCCCCCCCCTGGCCCCTTTGTCCACTCAGAAGTATAATTAGGCACACTATAGTCGAACGGCAGGTCGCCCGTGGTGGGGTAAAGTGTGGGTACTCTCACCTAGTCCAAGATCTCTGGTAGCGTGGAAGATTAGCCCATATAAAATGCGGGTACTCCATCCGGCAGTGGCATGAACAAGACATTTAAGAGGTGCAGTTTTACCGTCTTATCAGCGCTCTTGTAACGGCTTGCCACGTTACGGCACCACTATAGAACCTATCATTGTGATTGTTACAGATGAGGAGGGTAATGAGTCTGTAAAATTGAACATGTAGCAAATTGGTCACAAATATCATAGTGAATTGAATAATGGTCAATTTAGAAAAGATGTTTCTATGGTTGACCACATGCATACAGACAAATGATTATCAAATATCATTACGCCTATGAAAAAGCATATGATGCAGTGGAAACTGGTTAAGTCTTCCAAACTTTCACAAAACAAGGGCTTCATAAAATATAGATAAGTATCAAAAAGTTTGTAATCATGGAAATTCTACACAAAGATCACGTATATAAATTAATCAAATACACATCAGAAAAGGAGCCAGACAAAGAGATATGCTCTCATCAAGGCTATTTACACATTCATTGGAAAACATTGGATTAGATGAATAGACATGAATGGAAAAAGGAGTGACCATCTGAGATTTGTTGACGACATCGTCATTACCACCACGAATAGAAGTGAATGACAGGAAATTAGGGAATAACCGAACAATGGCTGCAAAGTGGAGCTAAAATATGATGGAAACAAAAGTCGTGTTAAACAAGCAAGCCGGATAAAAGGAAGTATATGTTGTCGGAACACAACTGGAAAAACAACTGGATGTGTATACCTAGGGCAAATATTGACTGCATGAACGTGATTACATAAAGAGGTAAATGAGGGCAGAATGAAGCACTTTTGGAAAATTGCATTTGATCGTGAAAAGCAATGCACCAATGTGCCACAACAAGAACGTTTTCAATCAGTGCATGT